CGTGCCCTGGTCCCTTGTGCTGTGTGGCTCTGCCATCCATCTCATCCCACGTGCGCAGGGCTGGGCCCCTCCTTCCCTGCAGCAGGGACAGCTGGAGCCTCTGGGTGCAGCAGACATGGCTGAGGCCACGTGGTGACCTGGGTGAGCTGGCAACATCCCAGGCTGTGTGTAAGTGCCATTTCAATGCCATTTCAGAGCTCAGTTGCCAGCTCTTCATCCGTCCTTGCAGAGGAAAGGGAATGACAGGAGGGTCTGTTTGTCCTGCCTGAGTTGCTGCCAGCTGCAACAGCCACCTCCAGCTGTGTCAGGTTGTGTCAGGGGCAGGGCAGATCAGGGCAAGGTTCTGCCCCCAGAGGGTGCTGGCACTGCCCAGGCTGCCCAGGGAATGGGCACGGCCCCGAGGCTGCCAGAGCTCCAGGAGCCTTTGGGCAGCGCTGCCAGGGGTGCCCAGGGTGGGGCTGCTGGGGGGGCTGGGCAGGGCAGGGGCTGCACTGGATGATCTTTGTGGGTTCCTTCCAGCTCAGGATATTTAATGATTCTACAAACTGGTTTTGCTGCTTCCCCTGCCTAACCTAGAAAATCCAAGCTGACCAAGATGCAGCAGCCTCTTCCCTCCCCCCCTGCCCATACCTGTTGTAGCAGGTGTGTGACACAGGTGGGACTTGAAAGTTCACTTGGGACTGGGGCTGAGTGCAGGGTGACCATTGAGCCTCTGCTGGCTCAGCCATGGCTGGATTTTGGAAGGGGGATGTGCACACACCCCATGCCCCTGGCAGAGGAGGGGATGTGTGTGCTGTCCTTTCCTCGTGCCCAAGGTGCCACACCAGCTCCCCTGAGGAGAGCAACTCACTGGGTGAGGAGAAAAAGCAGTTTGAAATCTAAGGCTGCTCTCCTTAAATCACCTTGGAAGGAGGCAGACGTGCCCAGCTCCTGGCATCTCTATTTTTACTTTGTGCAGAGATGGATATGGCTGAGCTGTCTCCTTTTATTTCCAGCGCTTGGCGCGTGCTGCAGCGCGTTGCTAAAGATGTGTCTGGCTGGATGTGGAGCTGCCCGCTTCCCTCAGTCCCTCAGGGACTCTGGGGTGAAGGGCTCTTGCCTTCTGCATGGCTTCATCATTCATTTCTTCTCTTTGCCTCCCCCTTCCCCTCCCCTTACAGTTTTTGGACTTTGTTTTTTTCCTGTATTTATTCAAATCAGCCTGGGTAAACAGGGAGCAGGAGGGAGGTGACTGGGGCCACTGGTAGCCCTGGATTCCAGAGGCATTTTTAATGGGTCTCTAATAACTGGAACTGGCCTATTCTGATGCAGAAACTATTCTTATTTCCTCTGTCTGCAGCTTGGCAGTTCCAGGATTTCCTTGGAAAGGCTCAGACTGTGCATTTTGCTTCCTGACAGGCAGCCTGACAAGCTCCATGCTCAGGTGGCTCCATTGCAGCAGCTGTGATGGTGCTGGTTTTGCCAGGTCCATCCTGACAATGCCATTTTTGGGTTCCAGCTGCCCCCAGAGCCACATTCCTGAGCTGTGCTTGTCACGCATCCCTGTCCCTCCTCCTGCTTGTGGGCAGGAGCCTGTACAAGAGAGAGCCAGGCAAGTCCCCATATCTCCCTCTGCCCATGGGATGCTCATGGAGAGGCTGATTTATGGTCCACTGTTCCAAAACCTGGTTAGGAGTGAGATGAATGGTTTGATCTGTTGAACCAGGCACCTCTGAAACCTCCCAGATAACCTGGCCCTGTAGCTGCCAGTCTTTCCTGCTCTGCACGAAACTGGGGGGGCTCTGTGGCTGTCCTGGACAGCATCACCCACCCTGCAGGGGCTTGGGGATCTGCTGGCTCCTCCAGGAGCCTGGGGGATGAGGGGGGTTGTGCAATCCCTGTGTCCAGCCACACTGTCAGCTGTGGGGCAATAGCTCAGAGCTGTTGTCCACCCCATTTTTCCCAAATGAGTTGTGGGGTGCTTATGTGTCTGGAGCAGGTTGAAGATGCTGTGTAACAAATCTCTGCCCTCTGAGCTGCTCCAAGGCTTGCCCCACTTGACTTGGTGTGCCTGGTGAGAGGACACTTTGGGTAGTGTAGAGGGAAGGGGAGAGTGGAATTCCTTCAAACTTTTCAGCCTGAAATGCTGCTTTCTGTTGCTTAGGGTTGGAATGGCAACCCCAGGGTGAGTGATGGTCAGGGAATGTGGCTGGAGAGGGTTTGGTGGGACTGAGGAAACCCCTCAGAGCCCCAGAGCAATCCCTCTGGGGACTGTCCCTCCCCTCTAGGCTTGCTGTGACCATGCAGTTTGGGATGCCAGTGGTTAATGGGGAAGCCTTGGAGCTGCCAGCTCCTGTGCTGGAAAACCCCTCAGCAAGCTGTGGAGGGAATTTTGGACATGGTCTGACTTCAGCCCTGGTGCTTGACCATGGCAGCAGGGCCCCAGCCAGGGCTGGCTCTGGGTGTCAGACTGCAAACCCACTGCCCCTGCCTGCTGAGCCTGTGTGCTGTGGGAAGGGAGCTGTGGCACAGCCTGGGTTCCTGAGCATCCCCACCCACCTGCCTCCCTGGAGCAGCAGAGCCTCCTCACCACAGTGCAGGATCAGGCTGCAATCAGAGCCTGTGGGCCCCTTATCTGGGCACTGAACAGATGGTGCTGATCTGTAAACTCCTGCTGTGCAGGGAGGCTGAGGGGGAGCCTGCTCAGGGGCTGTTGCTCCTGGAGGATGTGAATGTTCTCCAGTTTTTGGTTGGGCTTTTCTTGCTCACATCTCCTGTGTGAAAATGAGGGAATGGAGTGGGTGAGTCTGGGCTTGGTTTGACTGGATCCATCTGCGTTCTGTGGGCTAATTCAGAGTGGGACAGGCTTGTTGTGAGCCCAGAGATGTGGCAGTATGTCTGAGCTTGGCACCAATGTGTAGATACACAGGACACCACCCTGCTAAAGCCTTTCCTGCTCCTGATGCTGAGGCCCCTCTGTGGCTTTGGCTCTGCCACCTGCCAACAGAGAGGATTGGATGTCACCTGGGGATGTGGGGAGGGCTCATTGTGATGGTTCACCTCAGGAGGGCACCTGTATCAGCTCAGATGTGCTCTGTGCTGTGCTGGGGGAGTTCCCATCCCAGGCCATGCCATCCTGATCTTTGCCTGCCTTGCAAATGCTGAAGCACATCACAGACACAGTGGTGTGTCAGCCTCGTTGCTGTATTGATGTTTGGATAATGAGAGTTGGCATCTGGAGCTGCTTATCCTTTGTCCTTGAGTACAGAACAACACTTGGACTGCAAGGGGCTCTTCATCTCAGCTATGATCTGCTGTGGGGGTATGGCAGGAGATCTGAGGGGGTGGCAGGAGATCTGTTCTTCCTTGTGGGGTTGCAGACTTTGAGCCCTGAGGAGCTCATTCCACCTGTCTGCAGGACCCCCTGGCTGTGACTGGGGTAAGAGCTATGAGCTGCCCCTGCAGGGAGGGCTGGATTTGGGGTCTTCCCACCTTGTCCTGATTCAGTCACTTTGGCCAGGCAGGTGCTCTGGAGAGTTATTTGAGGTGGCTGCAAGCAGCAATAACATCCAGCCCTCAGTGTTTGGGTGGGTGGGTGGAGGTGTTGATATCAACAGGGCTGAGGACATTTGAGGAGGGGAGGGGAGAGCTCCTAAGCCACACAAACTGGCCACCTGCCTCCCAGGGAGATGCTTCCTGTGGATGCAGCTGGAACACAGGGGAGCTGATGGGTCAAACAGGGAAAGAATCTGTCTGGTGCATCCTGTCACCTTTCTGCCAGCAGAACTACTCACCTGGCCACTGGGGTAAGGGACTTCTGTGGGCTCCAGCTCTTGCAAAACCTGATGGGATTCAGGTGGGAGGTGTTGAGGCTGGGACAGCCCTGAGAGCTCTGTTTGTGCCATGATGGGTCTGCCTGTGTCCTCCCTGTGTGGGGGCAGCAGTGCAGATCATCTCTTGCTGTGCAGCAAGGCCAGTCTGTCACGTTTGTCTCTGTGGTCCAGTGTCGACATCAGAATCTAATTTCAACCTGCTGAGTATTGGCCAAGACTAACTGAAGGTGTCTGTGGGGAGCTCCTCTGAGAGCTGCAGGCTGAGCTCTTGGGGTGACTTTCTCCAGGCAAGGCACAAACATAGCTCAAATGACTGTCCTTGCTTTTGGGAGGGTCAGATGGCCCCTCTGGTGCTTCCAGACCTTGCTGTGTGGCTTTGCTGAGCGCTGTGTCTCTAACAGAGGAGGAAGCCAATCCTTAGAGCTGCTGGCTGGCTGGGAAGTGATGTGTGCATGGACATTTTGGAGGTCCTGATGCAGGACAAGTGTTAATGGCAAAGTGGTTTTGCTGCAAGACATTAAAGCTGAGACTGAGCCTGAGCAGGGGCTGGGAATGCCCTCTGAGGGTGACAGGGCTGTGAATTCAAGCAGCAGAGCTTGTCCAGGCTGCACTGGGGGGTTCAGCTCTCTGCTGCTGCTTCAGACAGGGCTGTTTGAGGCCCTTGTTCAGCTGCTGACTGGGCTTGTGCCAACCATGTCTCTCCTCCCAGGGATGGTGAGACCCTCAATGGGATGCCAGGCTCCTTGTGGGGTGGCAGGAGCAGCAGAGTCCTTGGCTGCTCATCCCTGTCTGGACAGTGACACCCAAGGCTTGTGCTCTCAGCCAGAGTGCCAAGGCTGGTGCATGTTTTGGGAGGGAACACTGGTGCATTTGGGAGAGAGGTTTGCCTGTCAGGGAACTGCAGTCACTGCTGCTAAGGGCTTCCTCAGTGCAAGGAAACCAGCTTGAGGGTTTCAAAGGTGGTAGTACCTAGAAATAGCACAGGGGTAGCAGAGAGTGCTCAGTTGTGTTGGGAGTGCTGGAAAACCCACTTTTGGAATGAAAGCATGACCTGATTCCTCTGCTCCAATTTCCCACCCTGTGTGTGTTTTCATGAGCACTGCTCCTGCACAGTGCAGTACCTGAGGCAGGTCTGAACCTGAGGTTTTGTTTCCTCCCAGTGCTGACGTGTGTCCTGTCTCTCCACAGCCATCAAGGTGAGCTGCATTGGATCCTGTGGGGTGTCCAACAAGATCAATGACACAGCATGGACTGTGGAGGAGCAGTACTTCAACAGCACGCTGTCCCTGGCAGACAAAGGTACGGTCCCCAAAGGCCTGGTGCAGATCTGTGTTCAGAGAAGCTTTACAGAAACACATCACCAAGATTTCAGCATCCCCTCGATGTGAAATACCCCTCACAGGCTGCCTTGGCCTGTGCACAGAGGATGGGAGCCAGGGTTAGACACTACAAGAGCTTAGCAGGAGCTGTGCAGGGAAGGATCCTGAGCAGAACTTGGCAGCAACACTGCAAACACTGCTGGCATCCTCTGGCCTGGTCTGCCTGAAGCAGAAATGTCACAGGGACTGCTCCCTGTCTCAAGGCTCTGTGGGTTCACCCTGGTCTTTTTGAAGCAGAGCTGTCACAGGGACTCCCTGTCTCAATTCTCTGTGAATTCACCTGTGGCAGTGTTCACAGGGGTCTCAGGTTGAGGGAAGAGATGAGGATTTGACTCCATGTTTCAGAAGGCTGATTTAATATTTTATGAGATATATTACATTAAAACTATACTAAAAGAATAGAAGAAAAGGTTTCATCAGAAGGCCAGCTAAGAATGGAATAGGAAGGAATGATAACAAAGGCTTGTGGCTTGGACTCTCTGTCTAAGCCAGCTGACTGTGATTGGCCATTAATTAGAAACAACCACATGAGACCAATCCCAGATGCACCTGTTGCATTCCACAGCAGCAGATAATCATTGTTTACATTTTGTTCTTGAGGCTTCTCAGCTTCTCAGGAGGAAAAATCCTAAAGAAAGGATTTTTCATAGAAGATGTCTGTGTCATTCACCCTGCTCTGCTTCCCATGTGTGTTTATGGTGCTCACACAACACTGCTCAAAGCTGGTCAGCAGAAGCCAGTAGTTTGCTGTGAAAGGGGTGTGGATGTATCACTTGTGCTCCAGGAGCGTGGCAGGATCAGCCTAGGGCAGTTACCCCTGCTCCCAGTGAGATGGGCAGAGATCGTGACGGAGTTGTATTGTCCTGTGGGTAAAGTGACACCAGAGCCTCTGGGGGATCTGGGCCTGAATGAATGCTGTCTTTCTGCTGATAAATAGGTCAGCCTTACCACAAATAATTCATGCTGTTGAAATCAAGATGTGCCAGTATTCACCTGCTGAAGGCAGTTGCTGTAGCAGGAACATGGCAGAAGCCCAGGGTAGCAGGAGCTCAGCCCTCTGATACTGTTTTGTAATGTTACAGGAAATGGGTAAAACTGAAATGGCAGTTTCTGCTAGCTCAGCAATTTCCCAAGCAGAGCTTTCAGCATCGAGGGGAGACTGAGCTCATTCTTGCAGCAACTGGTGAGAGGGCTGCTGGCTCTCAGGTCCCTGCCAGGGGAGACAGTTGGGTGGCTGGCTCTTGGCTCTCAGCCTGGGGGCTGCAGTCAGAGATAAACTGCCTGGGAGGGCAATGGGAGCCATTCCTGCCTGATTCTGGATGTGCTGAGCACAGAGAGCCCAGCTGTGGTGTCAGGGTGGGGGCACAGTCCCAGGGGGTCTGTAAGGTGCTGCAGACCATTGGGCTCATGTGGTGGTGTTCCCAGGGGTCCCAGGATGAGGGAAGAGATGAGGATCTGACTCCATGTTTCAGAAGGCTGATTTATTATTTTATGATATATATTATATTAAAACTATACTAAAAGAATAGAAGAAAGGATTTCATCAGAAGGCTAGCTAAGAATAGAAAAAGAAAGAATGATAACAAAGGCTTGTGTCTGACTGAGACAGTGCAGACAGCTGACTGTGATTGTCCATTAATTAGAAACAACCCCATGAGACCAATCACAGATGCACCTGTTGCATTCCACAGCAGCAGATAACCATTGTTTACATTTTGTTCCTGAGGCCTCCCAACTTCTCAGGAGAAAAAATCCTAAGGAAAGGATTTTTCATATAAGATGTCTGTGGCAGGCTTAGATGAGTTGGGAGTTGAAGGCTGCAACTGAGTGTGGACTTTTGGAGAGGTTTAAACCTGCAACTGCACTGAAAACTGCTCCTTCCAACTTTTGTTTCTAATATTTAATGATTGGAGGGAGAGCTGTGATCTTGTGGTCAGATCTGTGTGCTGGGCAGGCTGGGCAGTGGAAAAGCCAGGCAGGAAGGTGGAGTGGGAAGAGGTGGGTGTGCTGCTTGTGGGGCTTGCAGCCTCTGGAAAACTTTGATAGCTGCTTTGGCAGTCAGTTCTTGTGAGGCTGCCCTTGGGAGCCATTCCCTTGATAACTAGGACTAGAGTGAACTGGGAAGGATGGGAAAAAAACCCCATGTGCTGAAGTGTGCCCGTTGAAGGCCTGACATCCAAACGTGGCCAAAATTTGGTAGTCCCAGTTCTTGGAGTGTTTGTGGGAAACCCTGATCTTTTGGCTGTTGGTTTTCTGGGACCCAGACTCCTGTACACCTCTCTGTCACCCACTGGTATCACAGGCTGTGCCAGCCTTGAGCAGAGCCTGGGGCTGGCAGCAGGGCTGGGCTGCTGGCTCTGCACTGGAGCTGCCCACAGAGCCTGGCCTGTGAGTGGCACTGAAGGGGCAGCTGATGTCTCTGTACTGGAGCTGCTCACAGACCATGAGCCTGGGCTGTGAGTGGCACTGAAGGGGCAGCTGATGTCCCCAGAGCTGCCACAGCTGCAGGCAGTGAGGCAAGAAACAGCAGTGCATGATTTACCTTAGGTGTAGGGAATTGAAGGGAAATTCTGTCCCTGTGGAGTTGTGGGATTGGAAACTGAGGTGTTGTGGTGCTGTTCCTGTCCTGCCTTGCAGAGCTGCAGTGAGATCATGAGGAAAGCCCAGCCCAGGTATCAGCAGCTGGTCTGGAGCAGTGTGCTGGGTACTCACAGTCGCTGACCTCTGCTCTTCAGCTTTTTGTGTCCAAGGAGTGTGGACCCAGCTGCTGGGAGCTCTCAGCCTGATTCCCAGCAGAGGGGGAGAGAGTGGGCAGTCCCTCTGTGTGGGATTGCAGCCATGGGGGATTTGCCCTTCATGCTCAGGAATTACTGCCCTGGACTTGCAGGTTTGTCCCGTGTCTGCACCCAGACAGGACAGCTGGGCCCTGGGAGGGTGGAGGGGAGCAGTGGGATGGAGATGGGGCAGTGTCAATGCTGCCTTTAGACCCGAGTCCCCCAGCAGAGATGGCTTTGAAGCTGACCCTGGCATTTGCTGTGCTGGCTTGCAGGGATGTGGAACAAAAGCCCTGGGGGCTGGCACTGCTCCAGCCTGCAGCACAGGGACAGAGAGAGAGAGCTGTCTGCTGTCACAGCCCTCCCTGTGACATTGATGCGTGTCTGGGCTGCTCCTCCACCTCCCTGCCTCTGTGTCTGCCTGTCTGTCTGTCTGTCTCCTCTGAGGGGCTGCTGGCAGCAGTGTCCTGGCACCGCTCAGCCCTGCAGGGCTGTTGGGGGAGCCCTCCATGGCCTGGTGCAGGCAGAGCCTCGGTGCTGACTCAGCCGTGGCATTTTTAGGCTTTCCAGGAATAGCTCTCAGCTGCCCTGGCCTCTCCTGAAAAAGCATGAAGGAGCCCCAGACAGATGGAGTGTCCCATGTGGGTGTTCCCTGGGTGCCTCCCTGCAGGGCTGACCCGGCTGGGAGGGGAAACTGAGGCAGGCTGGCCTGCAGGCTCTTGGGCTGTGGGGTGGGGAGGTCACTGATGGTGATGAGAGGAGCCCAGGGTGAGTCTGGGGAGTTGGAAGCATTTCCAAGCAAGGGCTCCTACAGGAGCTGCTGGCCCACAGCACCAGCTGCCACCCGTGACAAAGCACCACAAGCAAAGGTTACTGGTGGCATCTGGTGTGGTCCTGCAGGAGAATAAAAACTGTCAGAGCTCAGTGCATCCCTCCAGGTGTCCAGAGTTGTCAAGGAGCCCCCCAGGGGCTCAGAGACCCTGGCACACAGCCCAAAACACCTGTGGGTTTGATTATGACCCCTGGAGCAAGTTACCAGCTTTATATGAGGACCTGAAAGTCACAAAAGTTTAAATAGTATAATAATAAAATTTTCACAAGGTGAAAATGTAGATTTTAGGATTTTTGGTATGGGGGTTATGGGGACAAGATGCAGGAATCTGTGCGTGTCTGGCCTTTCTTCTTCTTCTTATTCTCGTTCTCCATTTTCTGCAGTGATGTTGGCACTTTGGGATTGGTTCAGAGTAGAAGTGCACTGTCTAACACAGGTGATAGGTATTGGGAATTCAGTGTAAATATGTTATACGTAGTTTGTAGTATAAAAGGACAACACAGAGTGCCTGTGGCTGCCCTGCTGAGCAGAAAGAAAACTTTATAGATAAGAATTAATAAACTACTTCCAGACCAAAAACTGAAGAGCTCTGACTCATTCTTCAGACGCACGGGCTGAAACAGAGACATCCTGCACATCTTAACAGCAGCAATTAACAACAGCAACCCGAGAAAAATCCATGCAAAGCCCCCAGGGTGGATCCCTGCCTGTCACTCCAGGTGTGGGCTGGCTGTGCCCACCTTCTCCCACCACAAAGCAAACAGAAGGGAGGGTGGGACTGTGGGAGGCCCTGGTGCCAGGTGGAGGGGCTGCCTGCCTGCCATGCCCCCAGAGGCCCCATCCACACTGGGGATGTCACTGCTGAAAATGAGTTGGGGAAGGGAGGAATTTGCTTCTGCCTCAGAGGACTCTTCTGTTCCTGCCTTGCCCCCACTACAGCAATGCTGTTACCTCTTCCTTTTGAACAAGTGCATTTTTATAAAAGGTAAGGAGGAGCAGCATGTCCCTGCTGGGGGCAAACTGGCAGCCAGGCTGTGCCCTGGGGCAGAGGGTGGTTCCAGGCTGGCCTCTGACACCATCCCCAGCTCTCTGGAAAGGGGCTCATCCAGCCTGATGGCATTGGCCTGGATTGAGGAAGGATCCCAGGTGTCCCCAAGGCCACACAGAGAATGGGACTCTGTCTTGCCCATCCTGGTGAGTGGCTCAGCCCCAGTGCTGGCACACAGGAGGTGGTGCAGGGAGCAGGCTCAGCCTGACAAACAGCCTGCCTCACTCTATCCCTTCCCACATCCTGAGCAGTAACTTTCAAAAACA